ATCGATCTCATCCTTGTGCTTTCAAGGCAGGCGATGGCACCACTGAGCTAAATCCCCGGCCCATTACTATTTTTCAGTAGTAAAATTTCTTTGTGTATTTTGCTGGAATACTATTCCCTCAGACGTGATTCTGGAGCTTTATCCTGAAGAGTAATTAATTCAGAAACTAGGTTTCTTTCAGTTCAGTGATGGGGGTGGGACAGACAGATTGACTTTGTCCCCATGAAGAAATATATCAAAGTCTCATGAAGGGCTGGGGATTTGGCTCAGTGGTTCTGCCGCCTGCCTCTCAAGCACAAGGACCCAAGTTCGATCCCCAGTACCAAAAAACAAAACAAAAGTAAAAAGAATGTTCATTATTATAAAAAAAAAAAAAAACCAAAGACTCATGAGGAATGGGGGATACAGGTGGAGGGTAGAGTCTGAAAAGGTCTATTTGATGTTAAGATAATTTTATATTTGGAAAGGCACCTATGAATCTGTTCCTTCACAACACAGACGATAGACAGTCATAGCCCCACAGGTGCATAACCTGGCAGTGATACCATTTCTTCGGGGTTAGGGTTTCTCAGTCAGGAGGACCCCACCCAGTAAAGAGCCTGAGAGGTGGACAATGCACAGATGAGAGAATTTTCTGCAGAGAGGATGAGGGTTAGGCCGGTCCCCAGGGTCATGCAGCTACTGCAAATCACCATTCTGGTTAAATGGGAAGCATCTTAATACTTTAATGAAAGGGTGTTTATGAGGAAAAACTGACATTTTCAGCATAATTCTGCTTTTGCACATTCATGTTTATTGAATTAATTTCTACAAAGCAAATCATAGTAAAATGGTAGCTGAGTGCGGTGGTGCACACCTATAATCCCAGCACTTGGGAGGCTGAGACAGGACAATCATTATGAGTTCAAGCCTGGACTACGTAGCAAGACCCTGTCTCAAAATAAATAAATAAATAAATTTATTTATTTCAAGGTTGTGTAAATACAACTGAGATAAGAATTACATTAAAAATTAGGGAAAGATAAGGACAAATTTAGACTTTGGAAGCAAAGATAGGAGGAGTGAAAACCCCTCATTCAGTCCTTCAGAACCAAAGACAGAGTAGCCTGATTTAAAAAAAGGACTAGACAGTACCTTACAGAGAACTCGGATGTCTTCAGTTTCTGTGATTATGTGAAAGGGGTGACTTTACAGAGTATGGAGTAGGAGTCAGCATCAATAGACAGAATCCTGGCTTCTTCCTGTAGAACTAGAAACTTGTGGAAGTTTGATAAAACAGATCCAGACTTGTAGCAGCAGAGATCCTCCATATACGTCTGCATCTCGGAAGTTTGTGTCTTTAGTATTCATAAATTTCTAGCTGTGTGTGTATATTTTGTGCACGTTCACAAAGAATAGTCAAAATTAATTATTACAGCACTCTGGGAGGCTGAGGCAGGAGATACAAGTTCAAGCCCAACCTTGGCAGTTTAGTGACTTTGCAAGACCCTGTCTCAAAATAAAAAGGGCTGAGAATGTAACTCAGTGCAAAGATCCAGTGCTGCAAACAAGTGTAAATTATATATTATAGCTAACATATGTACCTGATGTCTTCTATTAGTGAATCTCTGTATTATCTTACCAAAGAAGAGGTGGGATTTCCCCATAGTTCTTGCATCATTTTAGCTCTTTGTTTTGTTTTGTTTTGCTTCTTGTTTTTAAGACAAAGTCTTTCTATGTAGTCCAGGTTGTCACTGAACTCACTGTGTAGCCCAGGCTGGCCTCGAACTCACAGCAATCCTGCTGCCTCAGCCTCCCAGGCTGGGATTACAGGCGTGCGCCACCCTGCCCCGCTTATGCATAGCACTTCTGATCGCCAGTGACTCTGTAGTCTTTCAGACTTGCTATTTTGAGTTTGTGTCTTGTGGAGGCCCAGCTGCTCTTCTCCTGAAGCAGTTGTTACCATCTGTTGATCTGAGGAATGACTGTCCTGGGCTCTGAAGGTAGAGAGCTGTTTGGTCAGATCGTGTGAGAGGAGCTGGTCTCACCCAGCTGCCAAGTTAGTGTTGTTAGGGATTTCGTTTCACAGCATGGTAACATCTTTAGAATCGTGGAAAGTTAAACCTAGAAAGACCTTGAAGAACCATGCAGCCACTTTCCTCATCTTGAAAGCAAAGGGTTTGTCGTGTAGGGTATTTCCCGAGATCCTCCGACCAGGGACAAAGACGAGGATTGATGAACTGGCCCGCATCCGGAGTCCTCCTGTTATTAAGCGTTGTCCCTGCTCAGCAGATTGGGAGTTTACCTTCGGTACCAGGGATCAAACGCAGGACCTTGTGCTTGCAAGGCAGGGGCAGTGCCACTGAGCTGCGTCCCCAGTCCTCTGGGAGTTTATCCTTGGCGTATGCTGTTCACTTACTTGAATTTTAACTGATAAGAAACAAATATTTCACAACCAAGAAGCAGGAAGCCTGGCCATTTGTGTCACGTGGACGAAGCACCACCGCACTGAGATGAGGCGAATACGGAAGAGCTGTGTGACCTCATTGGCCCGTGGGCCTCAACTGCAGACTCCATGGAACCGGGGGAGAGGAGTGGGGGTGGCGTGGGGTGGGAGGCACGGCTCAAGGGTTAGATGAGGCGGTCTGCGGTCTGTGAGACCCAGGAGTCACTGTGTCCCCGCTGTTGGGAGAGCTGGGTGGTAGGGGAGATGCAGGCGGAACGGAAGGAGTAATTTCCAGAGACTACGTGCAGGGGTGATCCAGTGGGGTTACTGGGTGCAGAAAGACAGGGAATGCGGCATTTCTGGCTGCTGACGGGGGAAACTCTAAGTGACAGGTTTCACAATAAACGAAAGTGATGGTGGAGTCGTTGAAGGGCCAGTGGGTGCCTCAGCCCAGCTCAGAGTCCTGCCCCACAGCACCCCTCTTCCTGCTGCCAAAGGGGGTGGAGCAGACCCTTCCGCCACCCACTGAGGCTCCTTAGTGAACGGCAGCAGCCAGCAGCAGAGCCAGAGGTGAAGGCAATTTGGCTTTGTGAATAAATAGGTATGGGGGGGGCGCCCTGGGGTTCCAGCACCGAGATGCTCAGGCAGGACTGCGGTCGGCCTGGACTGCACAGTGAGATCCCGGGGGGTGGTCTAGCTGTCAGCCTACCTGTGGCAAAGCCAGAACGACCAGACAGCTGGAAGTGCGAAGCAGAAGTGCTCAGGGTGATACTCGCAGGGCTCTGGATTTAGCAGACATGGTCAGGCGACTGGGCAGAAGGAACACAGTGAGGCTGCCTGATAGGCGTGTTTTCCTGAATTAAGTTTCTATTTCTCTTGAAATGAGGCCCTGCTGGGAAGCTGGCCAGCTGGCCAGAAAAGAGAGTGCGTTCTTTTCTCCAGTTTCCAATCCCTGAGGATAAAGGAAAAAGGGTGAGGTTATCTTTTAAAGAGCTGTTTCCTGCTGGCAGCAGGGTGGTTTGGGGAACCCCTGGAGAGCGGGGCATGGATATGGGGTTAAAGCCAGTCGGGTGTCCAGGGAGGTGGGCGAGCGGCTGGTTGGCAAGGGGAGGAAATGGGACTCTAGGGGCTGTTGTTATATGAAAAGTAGGACACTCAGAGCACAGAGAGGGTTGGACCGAGGGCAGAGGAGGCCTGGGCAGATGGAGGGAACCTCCTCCCTGTTTTCAGCACCAAAATGCTACCCTGTTTCCAGGAAAATAAGACCTAATGGGAAAACAGGCTCTAGCCTGATGTTAGGAGAGCTATCCCCGAAAATGAGCCCCGAAAATGGGCTGGGGATGTGGTTCAGTGGCACCATGCCTGCCTGGCAAGTGCAAGGTCCTGAGTTCCCCAGTACCCCCCAAAAAACCTAATGGGTCTTATTTTCAGGGAAATGTGGTAGGTCAAATAAGACCTTCAGTGAATCCAACATCCTAACCAGCCTCAAGAAAAATTAAGGTGAAAGTTGTATTGCCTCTGGCAACCGTATACCTAGGTCGTAAGTCAGGGTTGTTTGTGTACACTCGGCTGTGGCTTTAGATGTGGGGCTTTAGATGTGGGTCAGGGTCGCCTGGCAGGTTGAGCGAGTTCTGTTCTCCTCGGTTGAGGGGTTGAGGGGGGCCGGTCTGTGGATGGCTGCTGCATGCCTGCCTTGTGGAAACCTGACACACTTGCTGTCTGTCCATGCTCTTCCTCTGGTGCTCTGCTGAGACAGCACCTGCCCTGCTCACTCTGGGACCCTGCTACAGCTTCCATGTCCTCGCAGGCCCCCCACGTGTTCCTGGGGAAGGCAGGGCCTGAGCCTAGTGTCAGGTGAACAAGGACTGCAACCTCTGAGTCCCTGAGAGCAAATGACCTCTGGCAGGTTAGGACCCCAACGGCAGGGATGACGTGGGCACAGTCCCTTACCTAGCCTGTGAGCCCCTTTCTTATAAACTGCTCCAAGAAGGGCAGGCAAAAAAGAACACTTGGCAACCCCCTACCAGGACTTCCATTACAGACCCAGCAATGCGCTGTACCCAGTCAGACACAGCCACCGGGAGGGATGAGACGGACCTGGGCTGTTACCCCATAAAACAGAATCACGGGGCTGGAGATGGAGCTCAGTGGCGCTGCACGTGCCTGGCAAGTGCAAGGGCCTAAGTTTGATCCCCAGTACCTGAAAAAAACGGCAGAAGAAAGAGGACACTGACTGCTCCACTCTCAGAAGTTCCCCTGGCTTGGAACGGCTTTGTCCTGCTTTCTTCTGCAAATAACCTTACTGTTGCTTTCCACCATTTCGGACTCGTCTTCCTCTCTCCACAGTGGGGAGAGAGACGGACCAGGGGAAGCTGAGGTGGGGCTGAGCACCCCGCACCGCCCTGCCCCTCCTCCTTTCACATGGAGGCTTCCGATACAGACGCCTCCCACGCGGCTTTGAATCTTCAGACACCCTTCAGTCAGCAGCCCTAGAAGCAAACCTCACAGGTGAGAGTCAGAGCAAAAGTCAAAGTGATGGATAATGAGGATGGTGACGAACACCAACACAGCTAAAAATGTTTGATTCTTTTTATTCTCCGAATGATTAGAAAGCTACATGCCGAGTAACTTAAATTGTGGTATAAATGACTTTTTATATCATAGCAATTTCCAAATTATTTGATTTTTGTAAGCATTTGGCATAATTTTTGTGTAGTTAGCATACAAGTGATGTCCCTGTATAAGGCACAGTGTGAGAGTCACAAAATGCCTCTGGTCATCTCCACCTTTAAATTGTTCTTATGTTATGAAATATGTGACATCATTATTGGTGTTTTTTTTGGTACCAGCACTCGAACTCAGAGCCTTCCACTTGCCAGGCCAGCGCTGTGCTGCTGAGCTACATTCCTGTCTCAACATCATTTTTTTCTTTATTTTTTTTCATGCGGTAACATTCCCCTTTAGGCATCGTTATTGTTACATATCACACTACTGATGGTGCTAAATCTTCTCTTGCTATAACAACTATATTACAATTATTTTAGCCCTTGTAACATTGAAATTCTTATAACTTCTTGTCTCGGTTACTTTTCTCCTTGCTGGGACAACATATCCAATACCCGAAGTTAAGGGGGGAGAGGTTTATTTAGCCATAGTTTGTAAGGTTTCAGTCCATAATGGGCTGGCTCCAAGGTAGGCTGGCGTGGCAGAGGGCATCACAGAGGAGAAACTGTTCATGGCAGACAGAGGTAGCAGAGCAAGCAAGGAAGGGACAATACGAGCCTCTTTCTGTCCCTTATAGTGTGTATATGGTGAGTTCAAGCCCAGCTTGAACCAAGTGAGACCAGTGTAGAGTCACAGAATCATGAGCAAACAAGGAAACGTGACCCCCCTGAGGGACACAATAATTATCTTGTCCCCAAGAGAAGGAAATTTACCAAAAGCCTGGAAAGGAATTCAAAATAATAATGTTAAGAAAGTCTAGTGAGATACAAGAGCTAAAGACACAGTGAAGTCAGGAAAATGTTTCATGATGTGAGAATTCAGCAGAGACATCATTAAGAACGGCCACATGGAACTCCTGCAGGGAATAACTCCGTGAATGAAATAAAAAACACAGTTGAGGGCCGGGGATTTAGCTCAGTGGTGCTGCACCTGCCTCAAAAGCACAAAGTCCTAAGTTTGATCACCGGTACTGCAAAAAAAAAACAACAAAAAGCTTTTGAGCTTGAAGACAGGACTTTTGAATTAATCCAACTAGAGGGGAGAAAAAAAGATGATAAAGAGCAAAGAAAGCCTGTCGGATCTATGGGATGTCATTGGCAAGTAGTCACTCACCTTATTGGAGTTCAAAATGAAGAAAAGACAGCAAAAGGCACAGAAACCATATTTAATAAGATAATATCTGAAGGTCTTGAGATAGTTTAATGTCCAAATTTGGGCCACCCTGATCAGAAACCCCACTTAGACCAATCCAAAAATACACCATAATCAAGCTACCAAAAGTCAAAGAAAAAACTTTTAACCTTAAAGCCAAAAATGGGGAATTCTAGAAACACCCGAGAGCACGTGTGCACTGTTGAGTTCTCCTAGAGGAGGGGCTCGGGAGACGACCGCGGACACGATGAACGACCGAAAGCTGATGGCTAATGGCAAAGTTTGTTTCTAACACAGCGTGTTATTACTAGTTTTAGGGCCGCACCCCAGGCGTGGTCTCAGCGATTGGTAATAAATCCCAATCACGAGGAGGCGTGGGTAAGATAAACAGTCACAGAAGCGTCAAGCAGATGTACACTGTTTAAGCTAAGAATATAACATCAAGATAAGACAACATCTGTTTATGACCAGAAGGGAGTGTGAACTGGGAACAAGAGCAAACACAGTTCAGGGGGTTGTTTGTAGGTCAAGGGATTTGGCTCCAGCACGTCACCTTCAGGCCTCCTGTGCCCCGGTGAGAACCACCATTCCGGGGCTCGGGGTCAGCACTTCGGCTGCCCATCCTCTCGTGCCCCAACAATTCCCCCTATTTTTTATTTTTAGAGCAGGGACTTTCCCAGCTCAGCAGAAAGACTGTGCCTGTCTTAGGTGAGAGATGTCCAGAGAAATCCCTTACCCGTCATCAAGCCATGAGAAGTTTAATACTCATGCTGTCTTAGGTTGGATATTTCTCCACAATTCTCTTACCCGTCTTTGACTTCCAGCCTCTGCAGGGCTTTAGAAGCCTTTCCCAAAACCTTTGTAGTATTCAATTCAGATACAGCAAAAGTATAGGCTTGCAGTAAGCCCATAAGAGTGTGAGTAGTTTGGAGGGCAGGTAAAATATAAACCCAGGATTGTAACGCAATATCTAAACACAACGTGGAGTTTCCTACACATTAAGGGTGCTATATTATATCCCAAAGTAAGATTAATGATTATAGATTCCTCTTTTGGAAAAAGTGGGATTACCTGTGTCCCAAGGGCCAGGAGTGTGTACAGTATCACTGCAGTACAATGAAGGTCCAGATTCAGTCCATTCCACAAGGCGAAGTAAAGGTGGATAAGGTACAGAAGCCAATAAGTGTGATTAACCCCACTACCTGGGAAGTGCTGGTAGGGACAGCAAGCACAGCAACAAACAGGCGCTCCGGTGTATGAGCTTTTCCAGTAGTGGCCATGATTCGTTCCGCTCTTTGAGTGAGGCTCTTAATTTGGCCCCACGCTGGTAGATCGATACCTGCCTTTTTCTTTCGCTTGCTTCTGATGGCAGGGACAGCCACACGATGAGTGATGTCAGGTCCCGTCTGAGTTGCAGCTTCCAGTTCTGGGAGAAAGTCCATTTCAGGAAGTGGAGGTTTCTGTTTGAGAGTGAGGTGTAGGCCGGAGGCTCCGCTGGGATCCAGACATTTTCAGAATCGGCAGGCAGGCGTATCCTGGTCCCAGGACAAGGACTTTCACAGGGACCCAGTCGCTCCACTCCTGCAATTGCACAGGTGCAAAAAAAAAGGTAATTGCAAAGAAGAAGAGAGGATTGTAAAGTAGATGCGAGGTGTCTTTGCAGTCTGGATAGTGGATCAACAGTGCAAGGCGGAGTAAGAAAGTTAATGACATACAAGACAAGATGCAAGCATGCAGTCGGGAAACTACACACACCCCAAGGGCAATTCCCCCTTTTTATTTTTGTTAGCTGTAATTTGATAGTATAATGAGCACGCTCAGTGGTAGCTTGCCCTTGGGGATTGTGAGGTATTCCTGTCACATGGGTAATGTCCCATGTTTTGTAAAATTGTTTGAAAGCATGAGAGTTATAAGCAGGACCGTTATCTGTTTTTAGTTCAGCAGGAACACCACACCCATAACAGCAAAGGCAGAGCACAAGAAGTTTTTCCTGTGAGAAGTTTTTTCTCCTGGCATGGCCGCGGCCCATATGAATCCCAAAGGTATCAATATTTAAGCCTGCCAAAAGGAAGAAAGTGAGTAACATCCATCTGTCAAATCTGATTAGGAACACAGCCTCTAGGATTAGTGCTGGGAGGAGTTTGTCTCGGGTGCAGAGGACGGCAAACAGGACGGCAAACAGGACAGGTCCGCACAATCCGCCTGGCTGTGGTGAAAGGAATTTTCCATTTCTGATGTCATCGTCCTGCATTAGAATGCAACATTTGGTGTTTTTCTTCAGCGGAAACAGAGGCAACAGTTAATAATTTATCAGCACAATCATGACCATAAGTGAGCTGACCTGGGAGGTCGGGTATGAATGGATGTGGGTGATGAACACAGGATTAACTCTCCCAGGAGCTGTTGAAGAGCCTGTAACAATGGAAAACAGGAGAAGAAGAGGCACGGAGTAGGGCTATGAGAAGCAGAGGGAAAACACGGGCAACATATTGAGGGTCTGTGACTATATTTATAGGGTTAGAAATATTGAACAGCACACAATACACAGCAAATAATTCGTTTTGTTGAGTAGACGAATAGGGAGTAGACGGTGTAAAGAAGAGCTGCTGATCTCTAAAAATCGGTATCTTATTTAGTTTAGTAGCATCAGTGAAAAAGGTTTTTGCTAAAGGAATGGGGGATGAAGAAACAATAGAAGAAATAATCCAGTTATGTCGGGACAAAAAAGACAACAACGGATCACGAGATAAATGAAATAAACTTTTTCTGTAGAAATCACCAAAGGCAATCTGAAAATCGGGAGAGAATCGCTGTAAAGTTTGAAACTGGCGTGAAGCGAGGGGCCAGTGAATAGCATCAGGGTCAACACCTTTTAACTGTATTACCCGAGTTCCCCCTGAAACAGTGAGAGAGGCAATGAGTTCAAAACATGGCCTGACTTTGTGGGGAGGCTGAACAGGAAGATAAATCCATTCAGCAGGAGAGTTTGCCTGTTAAAGAAGTCCTGTGGGGCTGTCAGGAGTGTGGATGACAAGAAGAGAGAGAGGCAATGCGTCACAAATATGAAAAGTAAACCGAGATTGTAAGGCACTTTCAACGGTTTATAATTCTTTTAAAGCCTTTTTAGAAAGGCTTTGTGGGCTGTCTAAAGCAGGGGGGTCCCGATAATGTAGAAAACAACTTAAGCAATTGGTAATTAGCGATATCTAATATGGGACAATTGATATCTCTTAATAATGTTTGAAAGTCATTTAGAATTTGTAAAGATTTTCTTTGAAGAGTAACTTTTTGAGGTTGAATCTTAGATCTCTGTAACCTGAATCCTAAATAGGAGTAAGGGTCTTTAGTTTGAATTTTTTTCTGGAGCAATTTGAAGCCCATGTTGTTTTAAAGTATTATTATTATTATTATTATTATTATTATTATTATTTTAATTGCTGTTGTGTCTCCTCACCTATAACATTCTTTTTAATGGCACCCTCTAGGTGGGCAATGAAATCTATATGTCTCATCTGGTTGTTGAACAATTTTTATATAATTGAGACTGGACTCGCCAGAGAGAGTAATGTGATCTCAAGCTTTCAGAGCTCTTAAACAAGGGGGCCATCCCTTTGTAATTGGATCTACATTTT